ACTTCTCAACTTGACACTATCTTACTTGCGCCCTACAACTCTGCTGCCAGATTCATGAAAAAAATTTAATGCCCTTGCAACAGCAATTGCTTTCACTTTCGGCCAAGCTCAGAAGATATGATTCTACAGCCAAGAAACACTCCCACAAATCCAAGTACTGATTGTCTACCAGATTCAATCTTTTAAAGCTCAAAGCTCAAGAACTTGGCCAGCCTGACAATTCCAATTGGAGCAAGGAATGCAGCTACACTATGGTTTACGGGATAGAAGATCATGGCCAGAGAGACAGCTAAAATGCATTCTTGCATGTCCTCTAAGTGATTGCCACCAGAGAAGAGGTAAAAATTGTCCAACATACTCAAGGCAACACTGCAGTTGCAACCCAACAAACAGATCCCAATATGGCTATCATGATGGAATTGATGAAGCCAATGGTGGCTAGGCTTGATGGAAACAAAGCACCAAGACAATCAAAATCCATAGAAAACCAGCCCAATTGGTCTAGACAAAACTTTCTAACAGTACCTTCCTTGAACAAGTAGCTACTTTCCTTCTACAGGCTAAGATTTCCAGTGACTCCTTTGTAGCTGTTTTGAAGAAATTAGGAGGGACGCACGCTATAATTTTTTTGGAGAGCCATTCACCAGTGCAGACATTGAGAAAAAAGAAAAATGACAGTAGTTATTGAACAATGCCAAAATAAAGGTGGCTAAGCCAAGGTTTCATCTGACCTCTGCACACCACGCTGTACATTCTCCAGCAAACGACAAAGTGCTGCTACATAGGTGTTGATTTTGCAAAAATTGTGTTAAGTGCAATTTTCCAAATCAACAGGCACAGGTTGACCAAGGAGGTTACATGTGGTTACCAAGCAGAGAGCGGAGAGCCAGAAAAAAGTTGTCCTAGGGCGCCGTGGATAAATATGATGTCTCTCGGGACTCTAACCCACCTTTAGTGCAAGCATCATATGATTTTCAGTACTTTTATTATTTTCTATTATTCTACCTTTCCAGGGTTTGGCCAGTCCCTTAGCCAAAATAAAATTTCTGATGTGACAGTGACATTGTGTCTTGTTCATGGAAGCTCTTATCATAATCAGTAGGTGACGCAGCACCCGACGGTCACAGCCGCTAAACATTTTATGGCTAAGAGGCAGCTTATGACTCTTAGGGAAAGGGGTGGTGAATGTCGCTCGTGCATGAGCTTACTTCCGCAGAAGTGACAAGGGTGAAGTATCGTGCAGGTGCACACTTCTCCACATGTTTGCCCCTCTTCCAGTGGAGGACATTTCCTCCTATTTATACCTTCAGAACTCAAAACACGGGGTGTTTCTAGGACATTCGAGGCCATGCTCCGCACGCCTACAGATTCCAACAGATCTGGCTAATAACTGATGAGTAGGGACTATTTTGCTTTGTGGGGTTGTTTTATTAGGAATCTAAATGTTAAATTGAAAGTGGAGGTCATCCGATGATAGCTCAGTTGGCAGAGCATCTGACTGTAATGTTTCAGTAATCAGGAGGCCCCCGGATCGACCCCGGGTCGTCGGATTCTCTAAAAGAGACATTTGTACTTATTCTTCATATTAATGCTATCCTTTGAAAAAAGGGTAGTCACAGAAAATGTTTTCGCCCGGGTTCGAACCGTTAGACTGGTGTGATAACCAACTACACCACGAAAACACAATCTTACAAGAAGATTGTTATATATATGTATTTGGCTACTGTATTTTGCAGCTGATACTGGAAACACTGTTTTCTCTACATTCATGTAATTGACTGACAGCCTCCAACCATAGCAGGACTGCAGATGGCAGATGCGACTCATTTGTTTGATTCATCTGTGATTATTGTTAATCTTGGCTATCCCACAAATCAAGTTATGATTTTGTTAATCTGTAAGGTGTGAATAATGGGCGGGGCATACCCCAGAGCAGTAAGGCAGGTACCCCACAGGGTGATACCCACCCCGTTCTCACCTTATCAAGGGGGTGTGACAACGCTGAAAATAGCTCCACTATTTTTCTTTACCCAAAAAGGGACGTGCACCTTTTTATTAGTCTGCCTTACAATTTCTCCAAAAATGGCATTGGTACCTCTAGCATTTTCCCATCCTGCCGGCCAATTTTTCATAAAAGGGTGGATGCAAATCCTGTGAAAAGAGTCGCACCTGTGATACAAACCCACAGTCTGTGGACGTACGTTTTTCTTAAGCTCACTTTCCTGGTTCCTATTTTGCAAAGTGTGCATGTACCTTTTTGTTTATTCTTTCTTCATGACCCTTGTCTTTTCGGAGGGCCCTTTGGTGGGATTTCTTTGACATAAAGAAAATTTTATAAAATCGTTGGACAACTCTGAACAGAAACTCAAGAAACAAAAAAAATAGCTAACGGGAAACTACAAGGTAATTATTCTCTTTTTTTTTGTCATCTTTCAGTTTGCAAGCAATAGATGTGGACAAAGAACTTGCCTTCTTGGAATATTTTTCATTAAGGTTCAACGTCCTTCCTGCCTTCCTGTTTTTTATCCTTCTGGAACGTCCACCAATAAACAATAGATTCGCATACCTGTTGAACAACAGAATGGTGCATGCACATTGCGGCCTTCTCTTTATTGTCACCCCCCCTCCTTATCATGGTAATAGTTTACCAATAAAATCACTAGGTTCAGTAATGTGAGAAGCGACGCTCCTGGGAGGAGTCCCCGCGGGAGCGTCGGCGGCCTGCACTCAACGGCAGTCCAAACTTTATTTCCCTTTGTTGTTGTTGTTGTTGTTTTTTTTTTTTTTTTTTTTTTTTTTTTTTTTTTTTTTTGGAATAAAGGGGAAGTTGTTGTTTTGTTTGATTTGGTAACGCGTGGGTTACCCCGAGAATGAAGTTTGGGGTGCCGTTGAGTGCAGGACGGCGTAAAGGGTGGATGAGGGTGTGTCGCTCGAAAGAGCTCCGTGGTATGGAAAAAGGAAAAGTGTCCTAAATTGGACACCATATGGCTTGACAAGGCTTACCTGGTGGGATCTCTCAATATATTGATCCCACACGACTAACCCTTAAAGGCGTGTTATACAGGTGTTTTGACAGTTTTGCTTGTGATTTTAATTATGTTCAGTTTTATTAACTAAAAACAAATAAAAATAAAGAAAAATAAAGAAAAATAAAGAAAAATAAAGAAAAATAAAAAATTAATTTTATTGACAAATAAGCAAAATGCACATGGCTCCAGAGGTACGCCACAGCGAGGGTTTCCTCACAGGGTGCTGGGAATCCTAGCCCCAACCCCGCTTGTTCCTGTTTGAAATACAATTCCCACCTGTTCTACTATCACCAATATCCAGTAAAATGTTGCATTGTAGTTCAAAGGGGGCTCCTGGTTTGGGCTGAACTGCCAGTTCTGAAAAATAAGCTGTGGGTTTATGGAAAATCCAAAAAATACTTGGATACAATCAAAAGATAAGTTGAATGTATTCTATTTTATTATGTGTGCTTACTGTTGGTTGAATGGCTGTTCTGATTCCAGACTTTACCCAAATTGGCATCATTAAGTTCAGTATTCTCTTCTGGATCAAGAAATCAGGTCACACTGTGGGACAACCCTGTGGATGTAATTGCAGGGCTTGCAGTGGGAGTCCCTCTATAGACACAGCTACACCCTTAGAGACGCATGCTCACTGTGAGATTGTTTGGGACAGTTGCCGCTCTGTTGCAATGAGATAAAGAGGGGGCGCAGAGGAAATGGGGGTTTAAACAAAAACCCAGAGCCTGGACCTGTGCTTACAGCTTAAGATATGTCCAGAGGCATGGGATTCACAGGAGTGATAGAAAATAACCCACCCAATATAAGATGGTGGTGGAAGGCTTGGTGCTTCTGTGGCGCAGGGACAGTGTAGCAGGGATGGAGAGTTGGGACGGTTGTGAAAAAAAACCACAAAATCAGGTGTGTTTGCTTCTGTCCGGTTTGAATTATACCATTGCAAAACTGACAGAATTAGGGATGCCTCCTAGCGGATTTGAACCGCTGACTTCCTGCTATCCAGTAGATGATACTAGGCAGGCGATCTAACCAACTGAGCTAAGGAGGCAGTCTTCAAAAGCTGATGTATTACATACTTCGTTCATACTAACAGAACCATCTAATGCAACCACAATATCAAAACTTGCAAATATTGGGGATTAGATGTGCTAAAGAGTTGACTGGGTTAGTTTTTCCAGAAACTTAAATAGTTTCAAACATGCTTCAATTACTCTATCCACTTCATCGCAAATTTTTAAAGCCTGCCGCAGGTGCACAAGCTATGTAAAGCAGAAATAGCCGTTGGATACTGGTTCCGACCAAGACCCTATGAAAGACCGATGGCAAGGGCAATGTATATCTTGCCTCCGTGTTGGACCAGTGGCAACAGTAGGTGTCGAAACTACATTGCTGCGTTGTATCAAGTGTATAGCGCTCAATGATAAATCTTTGATTAAGGTTCTTATAAATAAATAGTGTTACTTTCCAGTGTCAAATTTAGGTCTCATTGAATATTAGATGTGTAACAAGAGTGGATGGAGAGGAACTGTCGTGGCATCATCTCAAATATACGCCCTTCAACGATATCTATTAAATGATTACTTAAATAAAATACTGATGTCTTATAGTGGCGTTGGTTTATTGTTGTTTGCCAATGGTGGCTTGATAATATCGGCCAACGTCCGTTTGATACCCTGAGCAATTGTCATTAAACTATTCTTTGACAATATTATTTACTTGTGCAATCAAGTATACGTTCTGCAACTCCTTTCCCGTTGTTTGGATAACCGCTTCACTATGAAATGGTCACTTGCGATACATATTATATTGACGTTCACATATTTTATTGGATTTAGATACAATCAATAACCAAAAGGAAGCGTTTCGCGAAACGCCGCTGGCATACTGTGAGCGTACTCCGTCAATCAACGCACAGGATAGTGTTTTAGCGAAACGCTGACATTCTGTGAGAGTGTTTCAACAAATTTGAGTGGTCCCAACAGTGTAGCTCCGTAGGCACCACATTCTGTATACTGGATAGTTGTTTGAGCTTGAGTTGTCGAAATCCAGCTGCGGGGTCGAAGTCGGCGCTGATGATCCCGCTGCCCGGCTTGCCGAAGCTCCGGTTGTTACTTTAGTGCGGAACCGTTGCCAAGACTGATCCCGCATTAATGTGCAAGCTATCAATGAACCCGCCGGCTCACTAATGAAGAGGCACAGCCAATTGAAGACGGATAGTGGCAATCCAGCTTGTTGCTGTTGTCGCTACCTCCAAACTTGATGAATAAGCCTTAACAAGGAAAACGGCTATTTTTAAAACTTACACGAAGTCGACGTATGTCCCAGTCGTTAAAGCCGGCGCCCCAGTTGCTGTCGCTTGCTGGCAACACCATGATTGTCAATCCGCCGTAGGTTTGGTGCACTGCAGAAACAATTGAAGCACTTGCAAGTAAGTTGCACCTGAAAATAGTAAATAAAAAGATTAATTCCCCAACTATGAGTCGCTACATTGACAGCAAGGAAGGCATTACTTACAGTGATATACTCCAGTTGCTGTTGAGGGAAAATCGATTGAAACTTGAGCTTGGAAAACGGAGAACTCCAGCTGTGGTGTAGTGTTAGTTGAGCCCGCTCCCGCTGCTGCCTGAAGCAGTAGTTGTTACTCACTGCGGCGCCGCTGAATCTCCAACCGTCGAGATCTCAGCTGTGAGTAAACCTCGTAATTGAAGAGCCACCACCAATTGAAGACGCGTGGTGTTGGTTCGGCTAAGGGGAACAGTCCATGACTCGAATACGCAAACGGCCCTGTTGTAGAGTGCCGTTTGTTGTGAAGCGTTAAACTAGCACAACTTCGGTGGTGTTGAAGGAGAAGGAAAGAAAAGGATATACCGCCTTTGGCAGTGTAAAGAAGGGAAGAAAGGATAGATACATTGCCTTCGGCGGTTGATGAAAGAAAGAAATACACCACCTTCGGTGGTAAGAACTACCTTCGGCGGTGTGGCTTACCCTAAACTATTCAGCCGCTGCCGCCGCCTTTGGCGCGATGTTTCGCCGGCAAATCCGCTGTCAAGAGGTGCTGCTTTTTGTTGCCGCCATCGCCGCCGTCGATAGACTTGACCAACAGAGCCGTGGCGCCACTGGAAGACGAACTTGTGATGCCAGAAATGTGGAAAAATCGTCGAAACACAGCTATATTGTAAATAATATCTAAGACTTTCACATATCGGCGCCTTGCACTTACATCAATACAGTCCCTGAAGCCTAGATTAAGAGCTGACAACACTGGTGGCATGGCGGTTGGGTTTAAAGGTTTCAATTCTAGTCGAAGTTGAAGTTCAAAAATAACAATCACCTGTTCTATGGCTTTTCTTGACACAGAGGTCCCGCTGCTTGCAGGATCAGACTTGTTACGGCAGCCACATTGTTGTATTTCTTTTGCGTCTTTTTTTTTCTCCATTTATTATTTTTCACTTCCAAATTCTTGCCAGCAAGAACTCCAGGACCGCAATACCCAAACTCTCATCCAGCGTCACTTGTTATCACAGTGAAGTTGATGAGATGATGGGCTCAAGCGGGGCTACAATATCAAAAAACCACAAGCGCAGCAGGGGCACCGAACTCGAGGAATCCGGACCTTTGCTGCCTTTGCATGATGAGAAACGCGTTAAAATCACGAGCCAATGCGGCCCTCCAGGTGCTTCTTTTGGCAGTAAGTTTGTCTTATTTAATTCTATCCTATGCCCTTGGACAGACAAAATACTGATTGAATATTATGATTAGTAGTTGCCAAAGCGCCAGTGCCCCAAACAATTGTCTCACGCAAGCAGCATGTAAATGACCCGCCAACTCTTCCTGAGCTTCCTTCAGATGTGGTTCCTGCTGAAGTTATCTGGTCCACTGAGTTTGTGGCTTCCCACCCTCAAGTTTCAAAGCGTTCGGACAAACATCGCGGTCCCTACCGACGACTATTCACAGCTCCTCATCAAAAGTTTGGTCAAGTCGTTGACAAATCAAGAGGAAACCACGCTGTTTTATTTGTGTAAGTATCTTCTTGTGTTGAGTTTGACTTGGACTCATTTATTGGATAGATATCGAAATCTCACACCGCCGCGACTCCAAAAAATTGACGCAGTAAAACGGCTGGTTGCCACCGAATCAATCTTCCTGGGGCATTGGCGACGGTCCAACGACCAGATATTTCTGACGAAAGACTCGCTTAAACTTGCCAACCACCCGGATTGCCCAAGTGTTATCGAGGAGCTAAAGCCTCTGCTCAAATTTGCTGAATTGTTCACAAAGCACTATCTTCCGGTCCTGTACCAGTTTCATCGGCGCCAAAGACGGTATCTGAATTCCCACAAATGGAAAGTTCGAAACAACCCTCAGGATTACCAGAGCAATACCGAACTGTCAAGCCGCAAATTTGAGGAGCTGGACACTTCCTTTATGGGAGTGTTTTGTACTCTGGGAATTGGCCATAACTCCAATCGTTCCAAAAAGGCGCACAAGGACAATCGCAACTACCAGTTTGGATACAGCTTTGTAATTCCACTTGGGGATTTTACTGGTGGTGTGTTTCAGTTTCCTGAGCTTGGCATTGAGGTGGAAGCCAATGCTGGTGATGTGATTGTGCTTGATGCCGTGAATTACGCACACAAGCTCAGTGATGTAGAGGGATCTCGACACTCCCTTATTTTATTCGACGACAAGGCCATGGTGCTAACTTTGCTTGATGAGCAAAAGAAGGATTTTACGAAGCTGGGTGGTTGCGAAGTGCCACAAAATTGGTTTGAGTGTCAAGGCCTTAAGCGTGTATTCAAACCATAATAATACTCTTTTCACAGATAAATATTTTGAAAGTAACGTATTTCATCTGCAGGATTTTTCTCAGCATGGTCGAAATCAGGAATCATCATGACTTCCTTGTCAAACTCATCCACCGCAACGAGCATCTTTGCCATGCTCAACTTCAAGTAGGGACACCCATAAATACACTTGCGTTCTGGCATCGCAAATTCATAGAACTGCACCCAGGCGGAAGCCCCTGCAATTTCACCAGAGTTTGACATTCTCTTCGAAATTGAGACTAATCCTAACACTTTCACAAAAATGGAAGGGGAACCAACAGGTGCATACAACTGTACGTTTGAAAATCGAGTGTAGCTGTAGGAAGAATGGCATGCATTGTACTTATATCTGGTGCCAGCGGGGATTACAGAATTGTGAAACTTCAAGTATCGATACGAAACGCCACTGTTTTCCTGGCCTTCTTCAAACTCAGGCTCCGTATCACTGTCATCCAGAATAACTCCGTCAGTTTGGTTCAGTCTTATTTGCATATTCTCTAGAATCTGTGTAATTTGGTTCAAGGTTGAACTCATAGTTGGTCCCAAACTGGCTCGTGTTAATGCAGAGGTGTTTTCTGTATCTTGCAGGTGTTTGCGTGCGTTTGCAACAGAATTCAAACCAACTGGCGATAGAATCAAGGATTCAACTTTGCCATTGGCGTGACTTGATTGAATAACAGTGAAAGCATATTGCTGTCCAATAAAACGCGTTTTTGATAACTTGTCCTCAATATTGCATTGTGTGGATTCGTCAAACTTGGTATCAAGAAATGCAAAAGCAGTTTTCCTTTCATTCTTAAACAACAGTTAATTCTATTAGAAATCAAGATGTAGACTTACACAGCTAATAAGCCCTTTGACTACATCCCTTTTATTTCCTTTGTACTTGTAGTCATTTTTGATGTAGTGATGAAAATGCTCATACATGCTTGTGACCCAGTTCAGGGGAATACCAAACCTTCTGATAGAATCTGTCAGGTGATGAACAATCATATGTAGTTTTGGAATTTGAAGTTCTGATCCAATGTTTTCAAACATTGCAACAAACGCCAGACAAAACTCTTCTGTAATCTCAGCTATCTCAAGAACAGCAGATTCTGGTAATTCAGTTGTTCGGCACAGTTTCTGCCACTGGAGGTGGTAGATCATCATGTTTGCAAACAGGGTCATGTGATTTTTCTCTGTAATTTCAGAAAATTTTAAGATTTCTCTTTCTTATCTA